CCAGGCCCCGGTGCGCAGCGGGCGCCCCGTGGGGGGTCCCGGCGCCCGCGGCTGCGAGGGGCTGCGTCACCCGGGAATATCAGCCATGGTCACAGTGACAGCCGCGGGAAGGGACAGTGGCGCGGCGACAGCTGGTGGCTCTGGGCCACTCCCCCCGCAGACAGGAGCGCTGGAGAGGGGGCAGAGCCTGGGTGCTGGACCACATGCCCAACTCAGCCACCCGTGGGCCCCGGGGACCCAGGGAGTGCTCACCTTCCAGCTCCCACCCCTGGGCCTGCCCGGGTTGGGTGGGGGCACCCCTCGGGCCTGGTGGGAAACTGCTGTCTGTCTGTCCGTCCTCCCTCCTGCAGGCGCCTCAAGGTCTCACCTTCCCCCAAACTATCAGGGAGTCCACCGGAGCACCCACGTGGTGCCAGTTCCCTGCACCCTCACCCCGGGCTGGGTGCCGGCAGGAGGTCCTAGCCATGGACAAAGCACCTACTTTGTGGACACCTGGTGCCCTGCGGGGACGGCCTGACCCGCTCGCTGAACACAGGCTCCCGCAGGCAGTGCAGATTTCTGTTTCGCAAAGTGGGGAAACTGAGGCCGAGGGAGGAAGGGGCTTCCCCAGGAGACCAAGACCGGAAGGAGTGGAACAAGGACTCCTGGGTGGCCGGGCTCAGCTCTCCGCTGCTACACCAGGTGGCCTCCCTGCCGGGTTCCTTGCATTTCACAGATGAGGCCCCTGGCTGGAGGAGAGGGGACTCGCCCAGGTGACGGCCAGGTGACAGCTCGCCTGTCCACCAAAGGCGCTGTGTCTTTTCCGTCCCATGTTTTTGAGAGTGTCTATCCTCAGGTACCGTCCTCGGGCACCGATGGCGCCTGAGGCCCAGGATCAGTGAGGTGACGGGGCAGGATGCCCAGCGTTCTGTATGGGGCGAGTTCATGAGAACGACCGCTGACGTGCACGGAAGGACCACCAGCCAACTGCCAGCGCCGGCTATGTCTGGGGGACGGGGTTCAGGTGGAGGGGGTTCAGGTGGCTGCTGCACCAGTTACGGGTTTGATTTCCGATCTTCATTTGTCACAGAAAGTCCAGTGTTTTCTGTGTGGGGAGGAGAGGGACGGAGGCCATGGTCCCTGGTCTTGGGGGACAGTGAGGAGTTTCCCGCAGGCCCCCAGGCCCCAGCCCCGGCCATGAGGTGACCCAGCACTGCCGCTTGGACAACCTCAAGCTCCATGGCTGCGCTCAGGGCGGGGCTGATACCGAGGACGTCGCCCTTTTCCCAGGCACTTAAGCTCCTTCCTGTAAATGCTGCCTCATCCCTGGTGCACAGCAGCCCTGCGGGGAGGGTGGGTCCTCACTTTGCCTCGCCTGTGCCCAGCGGCACTGCCAGCTGCCGGGGGTGGGGGCGGGGAGGGGATCAGGGTGAAGAAGGGGGCAGGTGGTGAGATGGGGACAAGGGGGCAGGAAGGAGCAAATGAGGTGGGATACAGCCTCAGAGTGCCCAGCAGGCGACGGCAGTGGACACAGCGCAATATGGTTCAGCCCTGCAAAGGAGGGAAACCCTGACACCCGACACCACGCAGACGGACCTGGGGGACGCTGCCAAGCGAGGTCAGCCAGTCACGGCAGGACACACATGTAGGATCCCACTCAAGGGGTCCCCGGAGGACTCGGGTCTACGGAGACAGGATGGGGACCAGGGGCTGGGGGAGGGTGGGAGCGAGGGTTTCATGGGGACAGTCAGTTTGGGGAGATGGGAAGTCTTGGAGATGACGGTGGTGGCTGCCACACGCCGGTGTGAACGTGCCTAATGCCACCGAGCTCTGCACTCAGACGTGGTGGAGACGGTCAATGCTACCTGGACTTTTCCACAATAGAAACACTGGGGAGAACGGGAACAGAGCCGAGCTGAAAGGGCTTCCACTGGCCCAGGCGGTAACAACGGAGGATCTGAGGGGGGGAGATCAGAACATGGCGTAGGAGCTGTGCTAACAGATCACCAGGAACTCGGTGGCTTAGAACACACCCGTCTTCTCCCCCCATTCTGGAGGCGAGAGTCCCAAACGCTGCGTGTGGGCAGGGGCTCCTTCTGGGGCTCCAGGGACACTCTTTCCTGCTGGCCCGGCTTCTAGAGGCCCCTGCATGGCTTCGCTGGGCCGCGCTCCCGTCATCGGGCCTCCCGCCCTCCCCATCTTCTCTGCCTCTGGCCCTCCTGCCTCCCTCTCTGTACCCCAGGAGTACAGGGCGCCCACCCACATGACCCGGGCCCATCTCACACCTCAAGACCCTGTGTCCCATCTGCAAAGTCCAGGGGTTGAGGTTAGGACATGGGCACTCCTAACAGAGGGGGAACTGTCCAGCCCCCCCCCCACGGCAGGCCTGTGCAGCTCCCCATGGGGGTCGATACAGGATTCGGGAAAGAGGAATCCAGAGAGAAAACTCCCTCGGTGTCACCACCTGAGGCCTCCTGGTTTTGAAAAGTGGCGATTAAAGAGGAGGGACACTCGCTTCTCAGTCAGTTATACCTCCGGCCAGGCCAGTTCCCACGATGGGGGCAGCCCCCCTTGTGGACGAATGTGGCTAATACCTGGGGACAGCGGGAGAGGCAGACGACCCCCAGCTGCAGTCAGCAAGGGGGGTCCCTGGGGCCGGGATCCCCCCCGTGCACCATGGGGGGCACTGATGTTCACATGTTCACAGGTGGCGGGGCCCCTCGAGGTGACCAGGAGAAGTGTAACTGCCCAGTGGAAGGGTTGGGCTGTCCTCACTAACTGGAGGGTCCATCTGGCCACCTCCAATGGACACGAGGGGCCTGAGGCACTCGGGCCCAGGGGCACTTTAAACGTTCTCCTGCCTGAATCATTCAGCTCCGTCCTCAAGGCCCTCAGGCCCACGTCCAGTTAACTAGGGTAATCGGAGGCAGAGGGACAAATGAAGCCCCTGTGGACAGGCAGCAGACTTGCAGGGACAGACAGACAGCAGACAGTGGGGACAGACAGGCAGCAGACAGTGGGGACAGACAGGCAGCAGACGGGGGACGGCCGGGCCCCCTGCAGGACAAGGGGCCTGCGTATGCCGTCTCTGCTGCCTAGCAAACGGCCCCAACTCTGCAGCTGGACGCCAATCGCACTTCCTCTCGGTGCCCAGGGTAGAAGTCCGGGCACAGCTCAGCTTGGTCTTTTGCTTAGTTTCACGAAGCCCGGATCACGCGGGCAGGGCAGGCTTCCACCTGCAGCTCGGGGGTAGACGGGTGCGAGCTCACTGGTCATCGGGAGAACTCCGCTCTCAGTGGTTGCGGGACTGAGGTGCCCCCTGCCTTGCCGGCTGCTGGGTCCCCAAAGGCCACCCTCACGCTGTGGCACGTGGCCTCGCCACCCGTAAAGCCAGTAACGGTGCGTCAGATCCTCCAAATCTCTGCCTCTTTTGCCACCAGCCAGAGAACCGGCTCTGCTCTCAGGGGCTCTAGACTGAGCCACTCGGACAACCTTCGGGTGAACTCAAAAGTCGACTCACTGGCCACCTCAACTGTAATGCAAAATCCCTTTCTCCCCGTGTGTGCTTCCCGGCTTTAACAACAGACAGGTATTGTCCACAGACGAGAGGCCACAGGCCCAGGTCCAGGTGTGGGCGGCACAGGCATCCTGGCCTCTCCTGGGTGTGTAGCTGGCCGCCCTCCCTCAACACCCATCTCCAAATTTCCTCTGTTTTAGGACACGAGTCATTCTGGATCAGGGCTCACTCAGTACCTGTAAAGACCTATTTTTAAGTTAGGTCACATCGGAGGTACTGGGGGTTGGGGCCCAACACGAATTTTGGGGGGACGCAGCCCAGTCCCATGTGCTGTAATCCTGGGTGATGTCTCACCAGGGCTAGTCCTGGGGCCACCTGGGCAGGGGCCGTTCCAGACAAAACACAACATTCCTGGACTGAGCGAGCCTGAGGATCCCACTGGGAGCCACAGGGACGGCCTCCCCCAAGCCAGCTCCATGCGGCTCCCGGTGGACTCCCAGCCCTGGCTCCCCACATCCAGAGCCCTCACTCACTCACCTGCAGGGTCTCAATCACCAGGCACCACCTGGGGCTCCTGGGCCACCTCCC